TATACATTAATATTTTGCTTACAGTATTCCTTGAAAAACTTTTATGAGCTTTTATTGATTTTACTGGTGTACGTGTGGCTTCTCCTATTCAAAAGGAGCAACGTTGTCAACCAGTTCTTTTAAGTTGTTTTTGGTTAAAGAGAAACATATTTCAGAATCTTAGTATTAACAGAATATGACAAAATAAATTATCACCACAAAGCGAAAAAACCACTGAAAGCTTTAACAAAATTTGCTACTATATTTGATCTCACAAAAACAGACTAAAAGTGTGCCATTAAAATTTTAGAACTTAAAAATAGAAACGCTCATCCACCCATTAACTTTGACAAAAAAAAAGATAAAAAAGATATTAGTAGTAATAACGAAAACACCCATAGAATTAAAGTTTCAACCCCTGTCGTTTAAGCACCTAAGTAAATAAATTCGTTAGCAATCCACGTTTGGAAATTTTTTTACGATATCGTTAAATGCTCGTTTAGACGATGACGAGTGGGCAACCCTGCACTAATTTCAATCCGATACTTAGATCGAAATAACGTCAGAACAAGCCGGCTCGAACGTCATCCCAACACCCTCTAACTTTCAGTTCAGCGATTCGTTCGGTGGGTTGTTGCGTCACAGACATGGATGTTTCCGCCACTATAACTCCGGGTGGGTGTTTCCTGATTTACTAAAGTAACTTTTTCCTATCGGTCCGGTTTTCCAAAAATACAGGCGATGTTAGCACGACACGTCAGAGTTAAATTACCGGCGGAACGAAACCCTATTGCTTGCACAACTTCTCCACTCGAGATCGTATATTGATTAAGTCGGGGACTGACAAAGCAATTTGTATTAGATATCTGATACATTCTATGGATCTCAGCTGAGCCATCAAAAGGCGATGAAAAAACATTAAGTCGCGAAAAGTGCAAAAAATTTACTGCTTTGGTGCCGAAACATGGATAAATATAGGAGAAGACGTAACACTCCGCGGGGGTAAGTTGCAGCACTTTAAATTTATCTTCATGCATGCACCCCTCGAAAATGCATATATTTTACCACGCTGAATCACGTTTGTGAGTGTCGCATCAGTCAGGACGTTCACTCTCTGAGTGTGACGTATATAGAATATGACGTTTTTGTTCTTGGAACAAAGCAGAATTGCATTATACGTTTGTTCTGGCTTGCACACTCTAACAAAAGCATTAAATTCGTAATCGATTCGAAGTTCGTTCTTCAAGAAAAAATGTTACAATTTATTTCTTGATTATGAATTTCACTGTAATTCCACGCGTACCATTTCACAAATATTCCATTATTTAGGCAAATATCTGAAAGGACTTCTCTAATTTACATTTTCATCATAACTTAGGGAACGAAGTGTATTAAATATTACATTGTTTTTATATGAACTCGAATAATGTTTCTTTACTCCATTTTGGTTAACTTGTCACTAGCATGAATATGAATTTTAATAGGAATAAATTAAAACACTCCTGGGACACTTAAAAATTAGAAATTTATTTCTTGGTTTGTTTGTTTTCCTTTACTTCTACAGTATACACAATATGTTCTATCACTTTGCTTTTCATTTGCACTTGTTTCTATAAACTAACACTGTCATTATCGTAGAAGTCGCACCAAAATCACTACACTAGGATAGCGGAACTACAAATACTATTGATCGTTTAGTTTTTTCTATCTTTTATAAAAAGTTTTAATTTTGTTTTACCGACAACAAGCGCTGCTTCAAAATTAACGATTAATTAGTGTACTTATTTGAAAAATGTAACAAACTGATATTTTCTTGTGAAGTCGTAATTAATTTGATGAACAAAATTCATAATCTTCTCGTATAAAATTTCTATTGAGTTCTTAATTGTATATTAAAATTTTAAATGAATTGCAATTAATAATGGATTCTTCTTCAGCGTGTTGTTTAACAATTACGACATATAATTTTACATTAAAAACCTCTCTGTTGCTCAAACAAAAGATAATTTTGCATTAACAGTCTAATTGAACGTTTCTGCGACATAATTTCTGAAATTTTAGAGGTATTAATGTCGTCGGAATATTCATTTGCCAAATATAATTCGAAATTATGAAAGCCCACTTTCTTTTTAGGTTTATTATAATAAAAGCATTGTAGTAAATTATTAATCGCACTATATATCTGTATAAATTACAAGTCTTGGCGGTCGTCAAATGCAGAACAGGGCCGGATCAACTCTACTCTACAACGAAACAATTTCAATTACAAATAATTTTGTCTCACTGTTTAGTTGATTGAATATCCGTCGAACACCTATTTTCCTGAACACATCTGAAATTTAAGCACATTTCAAAGATACATGACTCGGCTATAAAGGATCGACGAAGATTCGTACCGGAACGGTTGTTCGACCATTGTTGGCCCAAATAACATTAATAGGGCCATAAAACTTTATTACTACACAAAAATAGTGCCTTTAGTATACTTACACACTCTTTTTGACTTCTGACTCCATCCATAAATAAAGTAAAAATCCATGAAGCTCTGTATCAACTTCAAACAAATTCCATAAAGAACCCAGACTGATTTTTATTTCGTTAAAAGTTTTGGGGCGTTTAATACGATTTTGTTCGATTTTTAAAAATACTCTTTGACGTTAGTCGAACTTGGTGGTTTTACCTCGCAATACACTTCGCATCAACTCCAAGTTTTGACAAGAAAGCGTTCGGATGTGTAATTTCCTCATGCACTTGTAAACTTTGCATGCATTTGTCCGTGAGAATGTCGATATCAACTGAGTTGTTACGAGTTGGTCCAAGTTTGAGCTTTGCACGTCATAAATATTCCATGCTGCACCAAATATTTAGATATCGTTAAAGATTCTCTTTGAGAGTCTTGGAACAATTCTCATTGTTGCTGCTGTGTGCTGATTTCGTACTTGGTTCACGAGTCGACTGTTTCAATTAAAAAGGATCCTTTAGTACATACGTAATGTACATCAAACATAAATTCAATGTTTGTCTTCTGATTTGACTTGATGAACGTTTTAGTACTAAGTACATACTACATTCTTCATAATTGCGACAGTAATTCTGAATCTACTTAAAAAAATATAAAGGAACACTGTGTTTTTAATTTCCTGGAAGCTGTGCTGAATGCATTAACATTTAATAAAAAAATATTTTTCAGAATGTGAAATACACCGCAGCAATAACATTTTCCAGAATAAATGAATAAATAGCGAAGGCGGTGTTTTTTCAGAATTTCGAACAAATGTTTGAAGTTGTTGGTAAATATGTGATTGCTTGTCAAATACACTGCAGATACAGAAATGTAAATATCATAGGTCGTTATTTTTATTTTCGAAATTTTGCACAGCGCAAAAGCACATCTCAATTTAAACAAACCATCCAGTGCAGTTCAACGGTCGAATAAACACAACAAAGCACAAAGCACTTTATGCTACTTGTGTACGGTTACAATGTTTAATCGTAGAAATTCCCAGTTCCGTATGCTCCTCGTTGTCATCCGCTTTATTTATGCGTTTGAGAACCAGATCACCGCCTTAACATAAACTTGCAAACATCAATAATGCCTTTATAGAAAATGTTTTCACCAAATATTTGATCTGAAAAGTTCCTGAGTGCACTCTAAAGTTCAAGCTATTTCTACCCGGTTTCCCATTTTGCAATACTCGATTTACTCCGGATTCATTTTCTTTTTGCATGCGATGTCGACAGTTATGCCAACACTTACATTAAAGATAAGCTGCCAAAGAGACGCGAAATATTCATGTTTACTGGAAAATTATAGCTCCGTAATGTCGTTATCATACTTTGTAGCAGTTTGTGAATCATTAACTAAACCAGCTAAATTATGTACCCTCGCAATGAATTAATTAGTATTCGTATAATTTGACGTGCGATGTTTTTGATAACCACCGACCGATTTATCGAAGGCATAACGTCATTTAACGCTTTTTATGCCTGCTAAACGAAACGTGAACACGCAAGTATTCAAGAAAGCCGAGAAAACTGCCATGCGGAGGACAATAAACTTCCAACTATAATAAGGGCTCCAGATGGTGGATTTTCGCAGAATCCTGGAAAACACAAACAGATGGAATTATAAATTGGCTGTCGGATGTGTTATGTGGGTGCCACTGATACTATTAAGTCAATGTATGGTGCAATTTTAGTCAATTTATCTGCAAAGGGTATCTAATGCACCTAGTTAAACGATGCCATTTATTGGTTTGATTACGTGAATGGTGTCGGGAGAGGTGTGCGCTGAAAGCTTCATTAAATCATTTGTTCAATAAATATCGGTTAATGGTCTTTGCGTGTTGTATTGAAACAAAGATTCATTTATTTTATGACATTCATTTTTGGCCACTACAAAGACTGCAAAAAAGTTCTGATAATTGAAGAACCGATCAAAATTTATTACCCCCCCCCCCCCTATTGGATGGTGTCATCTCAAAATTTTGACCAATAAATCCTACGCAAAACGTGCAAAATATTATGAGTCCATATATGTGGTTTATCAGTGCATTAAAATTTTTATACAAAAAAATTATTGAATGAACTCCACCTGTAACCTTGACACTCATATATGTAAGCAGAAAAACATGGTATTAAGAAGAGTAAACTTGAGTTATGCTTAGTTTGCCAAAAGACTAATAAAATTTAGTTGAAAATAATTAAACTTTATGTATGTTAAATTAAACATTTTGAAAATCTCAGCACAAGACAACTGCAGTGTTTTTTACGCGAAACTTTCTCATCTCTTTGTGTGTCACGAGTGCTTTTGTCATGGCTGAGTTCAATAAAAGCCGGGTAAGCGTCCTATAAAGTACGGCATAACATACTGTTTTATTATTATAGGCCTTTACTCTTCATTATTGACGTCCGAACAAAATAGCTCCACTAACTGTTAATTCCATTCGTTAAACATGCTTAATAGATTCTTTTGGAGGTCACTTTTACATGGAAATTAATGTATTTTTTGACGTTTCCAGCACAGAGCAACTTCCTGGAGCTGTGTCGGCAGCAGGATCGGCACGTACTTCCGCTTCCTGCAGCCTGGCATCCTCGAGAGAGTCATCCACAAGCGCCCCTGGACCCACTCCATACAAAGTCCTGATGTTAGGGGGACCAGCCGTTGGTAAATCCTCGCTAGTTTCCCAGTTTATGACTTCCGAGTATCTTCACGCTTATGACACTAGCATAGGTGAGAGCTGAAATTAATTAGTCCACTCGACGTAGTAGAGGTAGAACGAGATAAGTTTTTGCATACATTTAGAGGAAAAATGTCGACATGTTTTTGTGTTTTTGTCTTTTGAAGAGAACATTCCATTAATTTTGGACAAATTGAGTGAGGCAGTTGCTATTATATCGAAATTTTTTCTTAGTAGCGTAATTTGAAAAATAAGTGAGGCAGTATTTTAGAAAAAGGGGCAAATGAATTCAAGTGTTGTAAACACTCGGCAAGCCTCATTTGCAATTTATTATTTCTCGATTTGGCATAAAATTAACCAGTGAAATCAAAATAAGCCAGTTTTAGTTATATTGATATTTTAATGATAATTTATTAATTGCACAGCAACAAAACCAGATATAGAATTGGATATCAGAGTGTAGTTTTAATAGTATCTGTTACCAACTAAAGTAATTATACGGAATTTCGCTTGGTTTGATGTACAAGCTATTAGATATTATGAAACAAAAAAAACAACAATATAAACTAAATTGGGAAATAGAAACCAAATAATTAGTATAATGTACATTCCTACCGACATTTCAAGTGTATGCGAAAACTTCTCTTCTTCAGTTTCCAAAACTTCACTAACCCTGAAGCTGACATTCCTGTTACTCCTCACGTTTTTACGAATTGGAATAATTTTCGCTGGAGTCCTCAAGTTAACTAGACCTTGGAAATTGAATTTTCCTTCTCTTTTTCTGAGTTCACTACAAAAACTTTAATTACAAAAGAGCATCAAAGCCGACATTCGGTTCTCGAAAAAATTAAAAATTTTCAAGAGTTTCAGTTAACTGAATTATGTTTTAATTCAGATAGCGAAAACTGCCATGGGATTAGTCTAAGGATCGATTTCGTGTCCGGTGAGGTAGACAAACAGGGTACGTACTAAAAACCTCTGTCATGCTAATCCCCTCAAGTATATTCAGATTGTGGCCACAGATCTCTTTAAATCAACGATTTAAACCCAACACCTAGCGGTGGCGCGACCGGAAACAAATTCAGATTGGCATCTTAAATTCATGACATCGTTTGTGTTTCTAAAAATCTTCGGTTTGAACTAATGGAGACCTCAATTCGCCTGCGTTTGTGAAACGGCATCCGCACTGAAACCAATTTAAAGTCAATTTTAACATTCTTGACAGACAATGATTTGGCTGGCAAAGTTAATTAAAACTAATCGGAAAATAGAATGTAGATTTGAACTGAATTTGCGATCATTAGCGAACTTGTTGTGTCAGGAGTTTTAAATTGCTTTTACACATGTATCTAACTTGAGGTTTTTTTATCGTCGGAAAATCTGCGCTCAGCAGACGCGGTTTGTTCCAGTTTATGCAATGTTTTCTAAAACGTAAATATGACTTTAAAAACCTCAGGAATTCATGGTTTTGGCATCAAATAACACTAAAATAAAAAATTACAAACAAAATTAAAGTTGTTTATATAATTATCTGCAAGAAATTAACACAATAAAGAAATAGAAACAAAGAAAAAATAAAATGTAACCCAAAAAAACAGATTAGCGAATGTATGACAGAAAATATTTATTTTGGTAACAAAAGCGGGAAATAGTATTTACAAATAGGAACAACATAAAGTTTTCTGAAATCAGAGACTCCATTGCTCACTGATGTGGCAATCGATTTTCCACCTACTTTATTCACGAGGAGTAAATATTGCGGAAGAGACCAAAAACAACGACCAGGAAGAGGTCAAACACAAATAAGAATGGAGGAAACCATTATGTAGGTTTGCCACGCCATGGTGATTAATACGGAAAAGTGAAAACAAACTTTTCATTATTTCAGCAAGCAGCCCATAAAACACAAACTGTAGAATGTGTACGTATGATGAAAAATAGGGTGTGAAAAATTTTGTAAACTTACCTACTTGTTTTAAATTAAATAGAAATAGGTATTGGTTTTGGTGGGTTAAATATCTACCAAATTGGTTGATTTTGATAGAAATTCTCGGGATGGAAATTTTTCCGTCTTCATTATGCGCTCTACAACCGGTAGCCGCAAAAATTCCCCCCACGAATAAAAATCGAATCTGCATGGAATACACTATTAAAGAAGTAATCAAACTGTCATTTTTCGAAATTAGCTTGAAAATCCGCGCTCCTAATAATGCAGGCTGAGCAATAAGCTCGTTATATTTAAATTTACATTATTTCGAAAAGCCATTAACTCGGATGCTCCATACGTGGTGGTCAGCGATTCGTATGAAATAATTATTAAACGAACGAGGCTGTTCATGATTGGCCAAATTAGATTTTATATGTACGTTAGGTCCTGTGACGTGCATAAAAAATAGGGATAAATGAAGCGTGCTAGTCGGGGCGCAAAGAAAATTTTACATTTCTTTTGATGTCTAGAGGAATTTTCGAGCGATGTTTCTTTTCCGCCACTTTCTCGTAAGAATATTATTATGGCCATGTTTGCATTTTTAATAGAGACTTCTAGAAGAAACAAAGCATGCCAATTTCACGAATACTTTCACGAGCTGCATGGAAATTGAGTTTTAATATTGAAGACTTCTATTACCTCCCCAACTATGTTCTAGTTTTCTATTCACTATTCTTGCAAGTCGTTCTTCTTTGTCTAGTAGTAAATCAAGAAAATTGTCACGTTCGTGAACGTATTGTAGTTGCCTCCTACACACACGCGGTAAATTATGTAAGGGCAATTCCCAAAATTGTTGCAAATTGCTGTGTAATAAAATTTCCTACAAGGGTGGCTTATTAAAATAGAATAATAGATACAAAGTGGGTACAGCAGCAAAACGTCTAAAGCAACATTTTACGACGTTCCTTGTTTTAAGGGGTGGATTGAGTCGAGTTTAATTCCGCTCATTTGCGACAATGTTACCTTTTACGGCCTTCCGAGATGGAATCACGTATTTCATAACAAAACTTTTCTCCCATTTTTCTGGCCGATTTTCAAAGTGTAAGACAGATGTGTAGTAGTTTAAGAACGTAATGCCGGAAGCTCAAGGGTGCACACGACGTAATGGAAGTTTATGTGAATTGAATGGATAAAAGGGAACCACGAACATGAATCCAAAATTACGAGACGTAGCTCTTTCTCAAGAATACAACGCCAAATCTCATTAAACGGAAAATTGAACCGCTTTGTAACGTTTCGTTAAACATATCATAGCCGAGATCGGATCTTACATTCGTAATGTTTGTGTTTGGGAGCAGTGACACCAGGACAGGACTTGTCAATTTTAATAGACTGCAATTTGCTGTTGGTATGGATCACAATAAAACATATAATAATTTCGAAATAAAGTTTTATACTCCGAAAGAACGTCACGTCGAGCACACAAGCTATATAAAAAAAAGCTTAAGAAATGCTACACCAAATCAATATTGATAGACGTCATATCGTTAAAGGAGTGTCAAATTCGACTCCTGAAGAGTCAAATAAATAAATATTTTGTGTGATAGAAGTGGGACCAGGAATATCGTCGAATTTTCATTTCTTTCTCCATTTACAATATGTTTTAGGTCGCGATTAAATTTTCTTGATAAAAAAATAAAGTTATTTTAGAAACATTACAAATCAGGCTGCAGCACTGCCAGTTTCCTGGAAAAGACAAATTTTGTTTTGTCAAAGGTGCTACCACCTAGCTATTTTTAGAAATAGTTGTTATTTTCTACTTTTACGCGAAAATCCCTGTCAACAATGCTCGGAACTGTATTCGCCTGTAAACTAAACTATTTTTAAACACAAAACAAATACTGTTCCGCCGTGTCTTTATACTGGGGATAATTTAATCTATTGTTGAACAACAATATTCCATTCCAATTTAATCGAAAATGTTGTTACGTAATCTATTGTGAATTGTTGTAATTTCTTTGGCAAAATGGGCTAAAAATAGTGTTTGTTCCGTGAAAAACAAGTTGTGTTCATTTCCATTGAAATTTGATCGATTAAGTGAAATCAAGCACACGTTTATGTAACTTTCTACCAGTTTACTCGAAATGGAAGTTTGCGGTGATTTGCTACATTATTTTTGCATCTTTTAACGTTCCGCTGACATCGCCTTAAGGACATGTCAAACCGAGACCGACGAGGAGGTTAAGGTGGTTTCTATATTGTTTAGATAGGAAATTCGTATTCACTGACAAATATTTACCGAACGGTTGGTACTCAATCGTTATTCCTCTCGACGGGAAATTTTCCCTTCTAATTTTTTGCAGACGACATTGCTTTTCAAGCATTTTCCAAGGACAATAAAGAATTCGTCCCGTCCTTCCGAATAAATTGCATCAACTGATATCATCCGGAGTCACCCATGCCATTTACCCTCTAAAATGAATTAGTCCATAATACCTCCTGCTTCAGCGGTAATTCCACAGGCGATCTGAATTTAGCAAAGGGATTCCATCGTAAAGGCCCGGTGAACAGCTCTATCCAAATAGATTAAACCTTACCGACACATGTCTAGGTTTTCATTCTTCTACCCACGACGCAGCCATAAACAAGAAGTGAATGCGGAATAATCAATCAAATTGTTGTTTGTGTTGATTAAGTGGCCCAGTTTGGCGTAATAATTCACCCTCGAAAACTTAATATGTTTGTGCAAAGTTCATAACAAGAGAAGGCGGCCCTCTTCCTTTATATCTGGCATCTGGGATTTATTTGCACCAGGTTATCTCAGATGCTGATCGTGATAAAAAACGATATAACAGTCTTACTTTCCGTGACCATTGTTCATTATGAGCACGCTACTGCTAGATACAGGCCGTTCTGTAACGAAGACAGTTATTGTTGTAGAATTTACCCCACGTTGGAAATTAATTCCGTAAGACGCTATTGTGGACTTTGTCACAGATAAGAAAATTTCTGCCATGGATTCTATTGTACATATTCATTTATGCGGGGAAATGTCGATGTGTAAAGTTCTTAATTAAACGGATGAAAGAAAGGGATGCGATCACCATTTAAAGTACGACTGTTTGTAGATTACGTCGACTTTAACGTAAGTCTAACTTACGTGAAAAACGTAGTGCTAATAAAAGAGGTTGGCTAACAGGTTGTTGGAAGTTTTCTTTCTCTTAGTGGATACCCGATTTAAAGGAAATGCGACAGTTGAAATCTACATTCTAGGAATTTAAAATTTGTCGTAATACGTTTTATGTATTTTTTAGTTTCGTTCATACATTTTTTAATACGAAACAAAGAATGACACAGTATCAAAAATCAGAAATTGAAATATGTATAATTGTTTATTTTCAAACATATTTTACGTATCTTCAAAAAAGGTTAATTTTTTGAGCTAAATGTACATTACCCAACTACGGTACCACAACTGGTCACATTAAAATTAAATTATTACCAATGTGCAGTCAAACGCTTACGTAAAAGTGTGGATTGTTTATTATTATGATCCATAGCTCTATTGTATAATAACAATTAAAGAGAAATTGTTTAATGCATAGCTTGTATATGACTGTTGTCTATTGTACTGTGGAACAATCCACTACCATTGATATCTGTTTAAATTTTTGAGTCGCAATTAAACTTGTAAACAATGCGGATGTTACATGCAAACGTATGAAACAGTGAATTCAAAATAATATGATGCAATGCGTAATTAGCTAATGTTCTGTCGTTAAAAATTCCGCTAGTTTCATTTGCCTCTACTTTATTAAACAACAAAGTAATCAACTAAAAGCTTACGCAGAAAATTTTATAATATAATTGCATGTACTGTGCATTAAAAATTTCATAAAAAGTTAATAAATTGGCTTACTGTGGCACTAAGCTCAGTTCATAAATCACCATTTTAACAAAAATACGCTTAACAACCTTTCAAAATAGACGCACTTTGTAGACCTGCTCGTAGATATGGGTTGCCTAAACTTTTTGTATACTCTGTAAGTATTTTACTTCCTGTATTCTTTTTTTTACTTTGTAGAATTTCATAGCAAAGTAAAAATTCCTTTTATTTAGGACCAACTTATATCTCCACCAACGCGTGCCTTGTACATCTCCAACACGAACCAGATAATTACAGCTTCAAGAAACGTCTTTCTCAAAAACATTTTTCTATTTGTTTCAGATGATGAAAGCGGCGAGAAATCCGTGTCCGTTCTCTTAGCCGGCGAAGAATCCGAACTTACTTTTATAGATTTTGCCACAGCTGACTTGTCGGTGAGTTCGTGACAAATATCGAATCGGTCACGTTTCAAAATGATTTTTTTTCAATTTTCAGCCGGACAGTTGTATCAATAAGTATACAGACCCTAACGCTTACTGCGTCGTCTACTCGAGCTCCGATCGTTCCAGTTTGGCTTGTGCTGAAAAAATCTTGCAGAAATTATGGACTCTGGACACCATCAGCACGAAAGCCGTTATTCTGGTAGCCAATAAGGCCGATCTTGTCAGATCGAAAGTCGTTTCCACTGAAGGTGAGTCCCTGATTCGTATACGGCAAGCGTAGAAACAAAAATGAGATGACTGCTGCTGCCAGCAATATAAAGATTTATCCTATACTTTAATCTTTACTAATTACATACTTCAATTTAAAAGAATAAAAAGGGTGTTACTTTTCGCACTCGATAATGAAATGAAGTCACTCGCAAAATTGACATTTTGTAGTGGAGGTTGAAGAACTTTTTTTCTATTTTTAAAAGATTCAGCGTTTTGTAGCTGGTGTACAAAATCCTTGAGGGTTCCCATTTCGAGTGATTAGATCGATATGCTTGGTTTGGCTGCAATCTCATCTCATTTCAGTTTCTTTTGTACGTTATAAGGCGAAATATTTTCGCAATTCAATTTGTTTGATTATGGATTATCGCTCCTTGTATTCGGTTTCGTTCGCGTCTAGAGGCGTCTTTTTCTCTTAAATCTGACATACCAACTTTGCTATCTTGCTCCCCTCACATGTAGTTTTTTCTTTAAATTTAAAATGATTGATAAGCGTAACAAGCCCATTAAGAAGATTGAGTTCGCCTTTATAAAATACAAATTCGTTTCGCGCCACTATCGATTACAGTCGATACAGCGTCAAAAATATGGTGCTATTGTCCTCTAAATCCCATTGAATAATTAGTTATGTAAAGTAGTTCATCAAATATTAAACGAGACCGCATTATTCAAATTCTGCGAATTAATACGAAGCAGTGAATAAAAATCACTTGTCTGTTCGTAGAACTTTGAAACGATAAATTATGCAGCAGGACTTTTGGTTTTCTAATTAGAAAAGAATACACATGTTTGGTCGCGTTTTTGCTAAATGCGATTATTCCTTTGTACGTAAAGCTCTTCCTGTCACAGGGAGCCGTCACTTTTTGTCCCTATTCAAGTGTGTTAAACTTAACAGGATCCAATCTAGCTCGAGTCGAACTGCATTAATCCCAAATTTGCAATTGAGAGCAATCTGTTTGAAACAACAAAGATGAGGAAAGCGGACAAGAGCCTTATTGTTCCAAGCACTTTGGCTTCTTTAATTAATCACATGCAGTGACACTTTGGACTTTTTAACGAGTAAACCGTTAGACGCAAATTCTGAATATGACGTGCTAATCGCGATGCCAAGAAAATGCAAATAAAATATGATAGCATCTGAACCTCTGGCTCTTATTACCATTTCTTTGTTCCTCGGTGTGCGCAATAAAATTAACCTTATAGAAAATTCCGTTCGTTTTAACGTTCCACAAGGTGCAGATTCTGGAAATCCGTTCCGACCAAGATTGTTTCATTTTTGTTTGCCTCGTAAACATAAAGATCCCCGAGAGTATCACAGATGGTAAGGTAAAGGTATCCGACACCGCCTCTTGATAATAAAATTCATGGAAATCAATAAGTACACGCGAGGCGTGTAAATTTTGAATAGGAATTTCCTTCGATGGTCTAAAAGTGACCCAGAGTTTATATGATAACAGCTGCTGCAATGCGACGGCTTCTGTGGGGTGAGGAATATGTCAGGGCCGCATTTTAGCACGAAAATATTATAGGATGAGACTATTAAAGGCAACAGCCTGAATTATGTCGGTCGAGTTTGTGATAAAATTATAGGTTTGGGGGTTGATGAATGGAAGGGTTCAGAAGGTGAATTTTTTATAAGGAATACTATATTTCACGGAAATGCGACTACATCTAAGGGAGTTTTTTAATAAAGATTTATTTAATCATTTTATTTTTAATAAAGACTAATTTAATAATTAAAAAAAAAGCAGAAATGGATAAATAAATTTTAGTTAGTGTTTTTTATATCGGTATTAAAATGTTATCAAAATTTCGCGAAATTTTTGTAATAGGATAAATGATGTCCGTAAGCGTGCCAAGAATAATCAGAACATGGTGTTTAAAATCCAAATTTCTAATAAGTAAGCACGAAAATTCTGTATTAAGACATCCTTTCACGTTCTGTTCAGATAACGAACTCGAGAACATCGAAATAAACTTCTTAAAGAAAGATTTCAATCGATAGCGAGACAACTCTTTTCGTCCACTTAAGCATTTAACGAATGACATTCTCCACTAATGGGAATAATACAGAGTGACTTCATATAACTTCGAAGATGTATCCCGACAGTGTAACGTTTATTATAGCGATTCAGTTTGAACTGTCATCATTTTTTTGGCAAATGTGAACAACTGGTGTTCTCATGTTTTAGTTCTTGACACGAGAAGTGTCGTACAGTCAATAAAGAAACGACATATTCTTATGAAATGTAAAATTTTATAGTATTATAGTCGTATATTCTGCCTCTCATTGTGAAAACTTTCATTTAATTGATAATAATTCAGCCTTTAACTTAGAAAATAAATTCAACTATAAAACTAGATCGGGAATGGAATTTAGCCTTCATTTTTAATCGTTCACTGAAGTGGAAAAATATTCGACGAGTTTTTAATAAGTGAATAATGTAATTTAATAATTTTTGGTTAAATTTTGTAGTTAATCACTCTAAGAAATGAGGAGTAATATTTGGTATTAGTAGAGTAGAAGACACTATGAAAAAATGCATAAATTACACACGTTATATATTTTTCCTTATATGATAATATATTCGATATTTTACTTTATTAAAGAGCTGCAATTATGTATAAAAATAGAAATAGTCTACCCTTCAATAGAACAAAGCCTAAGAATCCAGTTAAGGGAATCATTCCCTAAAGGAGTTATTTTACGTCATTTGCACTCAAGGCTAAAAACAATTTTAACTACCTATTTTTTAGCTCTAATTCAGTAATTCGTTTCATTAATTATCTCCGCAAGTCTGATTAACTGGTCTAATTTAGACTTTCAAACTTTTCAACCTATGAACAAAATTTTACAAATATTTTCCATCAAAGTAAACTGTAGTAATTTCAATGATAAGTGAAAAGTTCTCAGTTGAATAAGTACGCTAAACTTATACTTTTTTTAATACGTTTTACCTGCGTGAATAAAACGTCATAAAGTAATCAAAGTTTTTAAAACAGCGTTTTTGTCCCGGTTACATTAAATCAAATTTTGACCTTCCATGTTTAATGTAATAAAAACAGAAAGTTCCGAATATAAATCGGACTCGGTATTGGTTAATCCGAAAAGTTTCACAAATAACATGTTTAAACGTTGCTCACACAAGAATCAAATCACCATTAAGCTTATACTAAATTTAGCTGAAGTCAACCAAACTTTGCAAAGTAGTTATAAAGATTTTTTTATTAATTGTAATTTTATTTTTTGTTTATATGTAACCTACATTTACATTTATAAAAAAGCTAACTATTAACGTACACGACAAAACTGACGTAACACTTCGGGCAAGTTAGTTTTTTTACAAAATGTAATCATAAGACATTTATTAGTTTCTTGGAAAATTTCAGTTTCAAAATTGAAAAACTTAGAAATTATGTATTTGCCAAAACCTTATCAATATCAGTGAAAACTTAGTTTAAGTTTGAAAAGAGATTTTTCAGCAGCTTAATAAAACTGTAGAACGATAAATTCACTAGTGGCTATGACACGCGTTGTAGAATAACTACCGAGATGAAGCAATCAAACTATGTAAATTACTTTGGGAGAAAACTCTGAGTTGTCTGTGCATTTAATTTATATGATGTACTAACATCCTCGGTAATGACAAAGTTATATTAACGGAAACGTTTAATATGTTGATAGTGGTTACCGTTTGTGGAGAATAGGTAATAGAGCACAAATAAACCGTAAATTTATTGGACTGGAAACTTCGCACAGATATTAGGATAGTTAAAGCGAGATTCTACGTCTATTGATTTTTGTCTTCTTATAATATTTAGTACAACAAACAAGTAAAAACACTAAAAACCCTTCTTTGTTCTAGTTTAATTGTCTCCTAAGCCATCCCAACTTGATTATTATTTATACACAAAAACTGCCGTGTTCCACCGCTAATTTCACACCACTAAAATATTTATCAAACTCACCTTGTATGTTTGAAGATGCACAAAGTAGACAAAAGCTGCTTTCCACTTAGCATGCAAACTATAGAGGGTTGTAGGTCGAGTTAACAGGGTTCGACGACCTCAAGGTGTGCAAAGCACTTTTTCACTCTTTCGATCATCCAGCAATTCACTTTGTTAAATCATAAAGTGATGGTTTAGGCACCCTTAAACGGCCTGATGAAACGCACCGTAAATAATATATTCACGATCCTCTTGAAGAGCAGGGTGTAAATCATTGATTTATCAACATAGAGGCGAAAGCAGGACCAATTAATCCTGCTGCCAGCAAATAATTTTACAACTCTGCAGCAAAACAAACAAAAATGAACACAGTAGTTGAACGGAAGATATAAATGGCAAATCCTTTCGAAGTAGTGGAAGTTCAGGATCCGATATTGTCCTCTTAGGATAGACGCAGTGGCGGCTGGGCAAATTTCGACAGGTAGACACGGGATCTAACGATTTTGTTGATTTCTCTTTAAATTTTACTAAAACTAATTAACTATATCACTATTCTAAGATGTTAATTTAGAAATCTGTCAAAATTTATAGTTTCAACAGAACAGTGCGCACCATAGAAGGGTGCGGGATTACCTTGTCTGATAACACTTGGTCTCCCAGAAGTCCAATCTTACTATGTTTAATATTTTTTCACGAATCGTTAAAACTGTGTTCTGGCAGTGCATTCACCGATCGATTGCCCCGTCGTTTTCCTCTTTAAATTCACCTGAGTGCCCCGGTTGCCGAGCCGCCCCTGGTGCTAGGATAATTTCGTATCGTATCGGAATTGGGTTGGGAAAGGCGGAGGGCTTTCAGTCGGATTTCCGACGGTGATTGAGTGACGGTGCGACAGCTAACCACGGATATACGGAGGGCTGAGGGTGTAATGACGCAGCAATTACTCTGTAAACTGGTGGTTAAAGTTTTGCCAAGAAATTCCGGCCTTATTATTGCCACTTTTCAGGAATTCAGACGCAATTATGGCATGAAACGTAATATTCAGAAACTCGTGTATGACGCTTTGTACCTTTCACGTTTGCGATTCGCTAATGAAAGTCTTGCTTGGATGATTCCGTAAAAGAAAATTTCTTCGAGAATCCTAAATCAAATCGTGCACACCGGCGAAACTTTAAACGACATAAGTTTTCTAAGCTTCTTGTCTTCTTATTTGCTCGAGAGAAAAACACATTTTAAACTTTTTTTAAGTTTGTGGGTGTGATTACGTGGCGGCTAATTTATTCTCCACGTTCTTATTTTTTCTTTGTTGGTACTGCTACTCAAGGTTCACGAAGTTTCGCAGCCATTTTTTCACAAAACATTATTTTCAATCATGTTAATTACACTTGTGCTTCTGCGATTTAATTATATTCATTAATTACGATAAAAAGTTTTTAATTAAAACTTGTTTTGGTTTGCTATAACACTGCACCAAATAATAACTAAGATTCATGTAATATTCAAGTTTAAATATTTTCTTTTCCCGACTTTATGGCTTTTTAACAGAATAAGATAATATAAGTTCTGGAGAATAAATTTTGTAGACTAAATTCTACACATTCCTTCCAGCGTTTAGCCTTATTCTGTTTATCGCCGCTCTTTATCTTTAGAGACAAAGAAAGTTCACATTTTTAAAAGTCGTTTTTCAAACAGAAAAACCGACAAATTGTCCACGTATAGATTAATGTTGTTCGACTATAATTTCTTTTATTCAGAATGGTTCTCATGAAAATGATACAAAGAACAGTAAAAATTTCATAAGCGACCTCTTATATCTAGCTTTCTTAAAATAGGTATTTTCAGTATTTTGCGTTTGTCCTCTGCGTCAATCTCTGTCAAGCTCGACTCACTCTGTTTCCTATATTTGTTTACAGCGAAAAAATACAATCTTCGGTTGTCAGGATTTGAACGTATCAAATTGTGTTAGATATAAGTAGTGTCATGGCCTGCGTTAAACAAAACCTTCGTTTACTGATATTTTCCTCGTCATTCGTTTTATTAGAATAATTTCCGCGTTTAATTAAATTGTTGTCGAAACAAAGACAATAACTAGCGAATGCGAATAACGCTTATTTAATTACTCAAACTACATTAAAATTTTGCCGTATTTTGTTAAAGAGAGTTTTATGCAAATTTCTTTTAATCATCGGTTGGGATCAAATACTTATTTGTATTAACAAACCAAAATAACAAAAAATTTCACAATATTGATTGTATTTGTATCCCGTACTATACATAAACAAATTGTAAATTTTATGTCAAACTTAATCAATTATGCTCATGCGGGTACGTGCTATTTAGCATGAAATAAACGCAACTATAAATTTGATGAATTGCTCGATTCTGCCAAATATGACGAACTAATTTATCAAGGGGTTGTACCGATCGGAAATTCAATTTCAGAAAGTTGTTGTTCGTAACGACACTGATTACACATTTACGATAGATCTAAAACTCCGGTTCGCGTAAATGCCGTTTTCATTAAAATTAGGGTCCGGAGAAATTAATTGTAAAACTACTTAAGACTCGTCTAAGTGAATGCCGTTTCATTTAATAATCATTGTCCTATGAATGATTTATTTCAGAGGGGAAATCGATGGCTACAGGATACGATTGCAAGTACATAGAGACATCTGTAGGCATCAATCACAACGTAGACGAGCTGCTAGTAGGAATCCTTACGCAAATCCGCTTAAAATTGGAAAATCCAGAAAGATCAAGGGATCTGTTTCGTAAAAGGAGTTCATCGAAGAAGAATCTGAATAGGAACAGATCCCCGGTTTCCGGGACCGGCACACCTACCGGAAGCGCCCAGAATTCGCCGAAAAAATATAGGGGTTCCCGCACATCAGCTAGCTTAAAAGTCAGGAATTTACTGGGGAAAGTGTGGGCGAGGGATAGCAAATCGAAATCGTGCGAAAATTTGCACGTTTTGTAATTTTTAGTTTAGTCCTGCCCTAGCCGACGGCTGAAAGTACAATTCCAAATGTGATTTTTTAAATTAATTTTCACTGTTTAATTACTTAGTTTTAGGTGCACAAATTTTTATACTTTTTTGACCATATACCATATCTACTATTTTTAGTGATTATTTTATATACTGTATGTGAAATATACTTGTTTTCTAAAACCAAAGTGATTATTTTAACAGTCGCTACTATTGTTACTAACAGTTTCCAGAACATATCTACTACACAGGTTGAGCGTAAAGTTTGTCACGTATTTTCAAAAATCCAAAGTATATATTTTAAAAAACAGTGGTAAAAATTCATTACGAGGCGTCACATTTGCTGTTCCAAAGAGTTACAAACTCTACATGCAGCCTGTATACTTTTCAACACCCAAGAAATTTTTGTGGGTCCATGCAAGCAAACACCAAAAATAGTTGGCCAAACTGTGACAGTGTCGAAGTTTGGATAAAGCTTAATTTCTAGTGGTCGATCAGTGTCAGTATTTGTATCATTTGCAAAAATTAATCAAATTGGGTCCATAACATAGCAACTAATTAGGTAGTTAGGTGTAAAATATTTGTAGAAATTGTAAACTAGAGTAATATAAATTTTGAATTTGTATTTTACTGAGCAAGGTGGAGCTTTAAAATTGCGCGTCAAATATTGTTAGTTATCATTACGGCAATGCAACTATTCAGAACCATTTCAGTTAGTAGAGATACAGGGTGTTTACCGTTTTACACTCAGTGAAAATAGAATCATACAGCCTGGTCCAAAATAAATCGACCACGTGATGGTAAAAGTGTAAGAAATGACTGACAAGAGTTCATATCAAGCTTTTCCTACTATTTTTAATCAGAAAACACTACCTAAGTAGTGTAGCTCATTTTGGACCGGCCTGTACTTTAAATGTAAATAATCACCATTATTTGAAAACATTTTGCTATTAAAAATCATACCTAAATAAATGTAAATTTGGTAAATGTATTTTAGTTTCTTCCGAGTATAAAAATATTTTTGTCTGGGGGTAAATAATTTCGGCGTGAAATTTGATGAGAAATATGTAAATGTGGAATAAATTTGATTTGTCTTTAATTGTAAAACTTGAAGCCTTTGCACATTAATTCACAAACAAATTTGCATCGTAATTGCTATTATCAGTTTAACGTGCGAAAATATTTTTATACATCAAATACTATTTCAAAGCTGTAGTTCCAACGTTATTATCATTTGTATTAAAGTATTGAATGATCAAAATGAGAATTAGAGAATTTGACCAATTTTATTTGTGCCTTTGTATAGGCTTGGTTAGAGATCAAAAGTGTTTATAAGGACTGAATTTAGAATGAGCGTATTCCATATTCCTCTGTATGTTGATTAAAAAGTACATCATTAATATAATCAGTATTCGTAACCAATAAATAGTGCAGAATATAATACGTGTCTTTTAAATTTTTCAACAGTGTTGTATCTTCCATTTTCAAACAGTGTCGTTTAAGTGTTAGCAGCTAAGATATACTTGTTTAATTATTATAAGTGCCAATATATGAATGTTACGTTGATGTATAATTTATTCGGTAAGTGTTGATTTAGTTTAGATGTTAGCGTAATGGAGTGGATTACCATAACTACACCAGATTGATGGTTCTCTCCATTAGCTTGATTTTTCATGTTCGGACAACCGGGTAAAATTATTAGACTAGGCCATACATTTTTGGTTGGATTTTAATCATCTGGGTTACGTTTCAGCATTTATTGTTATGAATTTTAACTAAAAGTTAGCGAGTTAGAGACTTAGTTAAATCTGTAACGTATTATTGTAGTCACTATTATAATAATGAATCATAATGCACAAGTTGGAATTTTAAAATTTGTAAATTTATAATCCATTATTTGTAACATGTAATGAAGTTTATATCAATAAAATTTTGCCGTGTATTAAGTGTTTTCAGTAACATGATTAATTTCAACGTTCGAACCGTGACTTTAATTTTAAAGTTTTGTAATGAGGTTACACTCGCCACAATGTAAGCACAAATATTAATCTACCTTACTTTCCTGTTATCTTTAACAATGGACAGTAGCAAAGAAATGTGCCGTTTGTTAGATAAAGTATTGACCGTAGACTATAGGTGAATGCTTTATAGACATTAGTGTAATTTCTGATAAATTCTGTTATCTCTTCAGGTTTTATATTTTGAGAAAGAAATTTGCACTTACGTCAGTAGGAAGTCATTATATTTTGATATACGAGAATTCCATACAGAAAGGCAGAACTATATACATATTTTCAACATAATTAGCCTTGCTTCTTAGTTAATTAATATTTATACCAGAGTAGGACTTGTAACTGAAAACATCTTGTTCATTCACATTTTTCCCCAATCTGAAAAATCGTGTACTTTTTCTAGTACCGGTGTAGAGGCTATGATTTTTATTCACTTTTTTTTACTACCACTAAGTATATTTTAGTGCAGACAACCCTTAAAAGTGACCCAGTAGTGCGATCCGGTTTCGTAACACATACAGTCCTTAAACACGAATATGAGAACAAACACACCTGATTTATCTGGTGTCAGTAATTAAAGTAAGTGGATCTTCATCCCTTTGTCCACTCCTTTCCATTCAGCGGTTTGAACCTACAGCATCTTCTAATGTTGGTTTCTCTACATATTCCTTCTAAAGTAAAGTTACGTATACCCACTCCAGCTGTACAGTTTGGGATATACTGACCACTTACAGCCCCCACAGGACTACCGTTATGGCCAAAGTACACATGTCAAGATTTTTTTTTTATTAAACGAATTTATCTTCTAAGCTGTGTTGTGTACTCTGCCGCAGCTAGAATTCACTGCCTAAATAAAAGGAATGCAATGTACGATCAAAATCATAATAATAATTTGGGAATAAATGTTCAAATTCAAGTTGCGAAAAAATAATTCGGATGTAAGAAAATAACACATTAATACAAGACAGCATAAATTTATACACCTCCCATTTCGAGTCCTCGATGATATTAATTCAACTGATGAAGATTTTCAAGGTCGTTTCTCTCAAAATGGATCAAGTTTAAGATTAGGTTATGAGCCAGAAATGAACGATTTTAAATTTCAAAACTTTTCGATATTATATTAGAGAAAAATGCATATTCCATTGTGGTGACCGAATTTGAATCAAAATTTTCTCGCTGAAATTAATTAACAGCGGCGCGAAATCACATTTGAATAATTTGAATTTGAAAGAAGAAAATTCAATAAAAAAATCATTAAACATAGGCAACCAAATATGCACGTTAGTGCTTGGGACTAGTTGGTAGTTCTGCTTATAAGAGGGCGGTAGTGGTAGACAAGCTAGCGGCTAGCGGCATGACGAGAGGGTGATGCTGCATTATGTTTCTGTTCGGTGTAGTGGACGCATGGTAAAAAGATGCTGTAAGTAGCTAGGTTTAAATTAGCTGGTTTGATAGTTAATAAAAGGGAGGAAGCCTTTGTTTGTAAATGCACCAATTAAGTTAGTTTTTTAATCGTCAGCTAGTGATAACACAATTTAACAATCAGGATTATTTAAATAAACCACTTGCTAGAAGATTTCATGAAATTCACTTGGTCAGGATAACAATTCTTTGTTTAACAAGTTATAAATAAGTTTCTGGATGCATATACGTAAGTGTTACTTTATAACACTTTTTAATTCTTCACACAAGATTGCTAATAGTTCATTTACGGCAGTTAAATTAACAAAATTCATTATACCGTGGACTGACAGGGGGGTTAAAATAATTTCTTCCCTTAGGCGGTTATCATTGTTATCATGATTACATCACTGAGGCATGATCTCAGAACGCTAAAGATTGATTAGGTACATCACTGAGGCATGTCCTCGCAACGCTAAAGATTGGTTACATCACAGAGGGCATGTCCTCGTAGCGGTAGAGATTAATTACATCACTGAGGTATGCCTCGTCACGTTAAAGGTTGATTACATCATCGAGGCGTTTCCTCGCAACGTTAAAATTTACACCATCGGGGTACTTCCTTGCAACGTTAAAATTTACATCATCGAGGTATTTCCTCGCAACGTTAAAATTTACATCATCGAGGCATTTCCTCGCAACGATAAAATTTACATCACCGAGACGCTTTTTCCTCGCAACGATGACTGGATATTTTTGTGTTTATTTATTATGTGACTTGTTGGGGTAACCAGTTCACGGTATTCTAGACTTTCAAAGTAAATTGTTTTTTTGAAGTAACCAATCACTTGGATCATGATATATTGATATATTGATAAAGCGTGGCAAGAATTAATCTCATGTAAATTTTGTTAACTTTGCAATTTTTCACCTCATAGAATATTTCTCTATCTCACAATTTTAACCTCAGTAATTTTCTTTGTTGTATAATTTTCATTGAACATAAATTTCGTGCTCTGCAGTTTTAACCTTACATAATATTTTTCTTTGCATAAGTTTATTTCACACCAGATCTTTTGTTTTTCATAAATCTTTGCTAGTTTTGATCATGTAAATATTTTGTTGATAAATGTTTTCATCGTATAAATTATTTGATGTCCAATTTTAATCCCACATAAGAATTATTTGTTGTTTAAAATTTCAGAAGATTGTATGCCGAATTCAAATGTTGTTTATTGCTCTTTTGAAGCTGTAACACTTGTTCAGTTGTTGTTAATATCAGAGTTATAAGAAATTGAACATTTAAAATGGAATTGAGGTTAAATAACACAGAAAACATGGCAGAAGCGAAGTGCGGTTCCTAGTCGAGCGGGCGAGATCTATCGCGTCACCTGCACAAAGGGTACAGATTTGGATATATTCAGTGCTGTCGGCTTCTGCGGATCTCCGATGGTAACGGCCTAGTTTCGGACGGCATGTTCGTCATGGAGCTGTGCTGTGTGGGTAGGCTTGCGATAGATAGAATCACCGTCGGGGAGAACAGCCCCGACCGGTAGCCCCAAACTCCGCTTGTGCTAGAACGCCCCAGGGGTATTTTTATTGTGGTCCTTAACTGCCGTAACTTTCAATTTGACGCCACACGCCCGTAATAACTTGTGTATTTGCATCCAGTTACTTTAATTCAGATTTTGCTTTGTTTCTAGTAAATTTGTGATATTCAAATATTTGCATTGATCCATTTTACATACGTATAGGATTTTGTGTTTGTTCGGTTTTCAGATGTGTATGTCTGTCAATTCGCGAGTGTCTTTTCTTTGATATTTTTAAGATGTTTCATTTGAAATGTAATATGTGGGTGAATAAAACCCTAGGCGGTTTTTGGAGATGGAAAGCGATGGCGACTCGGCCCTCCTGGGCCGCCAGAAGGGCACGTCCGAGTCACCTTCGCTCGTCGCTTCTTTTCCTCCTAGGGAGAGGTGCGAGTCTAGCCCCCCTCCCAAAAATGTTTTCTATTATTTCTTGCGCTCTCGACTGACACGCAGTGTATGCTCACTTGTATGAAAGAACGTCTTCCCTACATGTTTCAAAAAAAAAAACACCAACGTAGGTTCCTTTTGTTAGACGATCACAGCCAAGGTCAAATTTTGAATTTTTTAATTTTTCGCGGGCCTTTCAAACTTTTTCAAGTGTCAATTTAAGGGGGGAAGTTTGGGTTATCATTATCACACCATTTTGTTTAAAACTTTTGTATAACAACGGAAACACTGTATAATAAACTTACAGGAATAATTATAATACTACTAAATTACTACATTTGTTTAGCTCATGAGTAAACCCACGAATTTCGCTTTCTTTTTTGTGCAAAAGTCTAATTAAATCAATAACTAAAAAATATTAGCATAACTTAGTGTAAAAATATGAACCGTAGGGTCAATAATCTCTCAATCCAACTCTGTCGCGCCATGCACACTTCATCGTCTATAAATGCCGACAGTGGAAGAAAAAGAAGAGGAACTGATTTGCACGTGATCTGGGATGAAACTCAAAAAACTATAATCGAAGAAATAAATTGCAACAGTCGAACATACAAAATAACTTTTGCATGATGTATCATTTTGTTTTAACTGAAAACCGTGTTAACGTGGAGTGCCACTAACAAAACGTGGAAATTGGACATAATTAACTGACCCAATGGGAAAACGTGCTTGCGATCGAAAGATGTATACGTTTATCTCTCATAATCCGTTAAATTAAAGTTTTAATCAATTCTACAGGTACGTTTTGAGTTGTCCCAATACAAATGTTTTCTTACAACTACAAATTACTTACAAAAAAGTCGGTACTAATACGATATATTTTTACAAATAAATTTTTCAAACAAGGCTGTTAATAATAATTATCGTTGCAAAATTTCGTTCACTTTTAGAACCACAAACGTTTTAATTATGACTGATGCC